GTTGGTTACTGTACCGCGGGTTTTTACCGCTCATTTTGAATGGCTGCATCTGTATATTCAGCATATTTTAACAGGAGGTGCATACTACACTCTGTACACATAATCCTTTGCAGAGAACAAATTGTAATTTGCATCAACAATCTCTCCAAGCAGCATAAAACAAAACTGAAAGGATTTGACAGTATTATCAAGTCCAAGTGTCAGACATAAAAGGTTTAAAAAAATAAATCAAACACTAACCAAACAGGAAAAGTGAGATTAGGAGCCAACCTGATGAAGCAAATTTGCAATCAAGTGCTCTTTACAGGAAAGATCTGAAAGTAGCATTTATTTGAATTACAAAGAATCTGAAAGCCTGCTACTGCTCCTTGCTATTGTTTCTTTATCACAATAAATTGTATACAAGTACAAAACAGATTAAGGATTTATTCTAAATAATTTTTACATGAAACCTTACCACAGTTGCATTGCTCAATCTTTGAACTTTGAAAAAGCAATCAAATAGCAATAAACAATTCTATCTGATGGACAGGCAAGTACTTTATAATATGTTTTGAGATATCTGAGTTGGAAAAAGATGTTCACGGTGAAACTGGACTATCTTCTTAAAATTAAGAAATTTTGTTTGTTTTCATTATGTGATAATATTAATGTTTGAATACACTGTATGTATATTATCCAGGCTCTTAAAAAGTTAATTGTTCTATTCAAACACTTAATCATAAAAAACGTCCCCAAGAGGGGGGACGCAAGGCGATGGACAAGATAGTTTCTTAAACTTCCTACATTCCTACAGTCATTATATCTGAATGAAAGCTGCCTCCTAGGCTCGTGAAGAGAACCAAGAGCAGGTGAGGCAAGCAGGCTAGCTGGCATGGCAAACAAGTAAACAGAAAAATGCAATCCAACGATCTACAATAGTTGAAAAATAAAGCAAACAGGATCAGAGCCAACAAATCAATGCTTTAAAGCGCAATGGGCACAAAGGCATAGTCAAAGCAATGAACAGGACCTCCTGCCTTTATTAGCCTGTATTTAAAGCAACCAACTGATTTACATATCTTGTCAAGATTCTTTTCTGGAAACTGGGAGGTTCTGCATTGTGCTGCAGGAGCAGAAGTGAAGACTAGTGAAAGAACCAGCAGTAGCTTACCTGCAACATTTTTTATCAAGATACTTGGTTGGATCAAGTTTGAAAAAGGAGTCTTGTATCCCAGCTCAATCCAATTACTGTGGGTGTAGAAATCCTAGGAAATACAAGCACACGTGTTGGGAAGAAAATTATAACAAAGAAACATGTCAATACTCACGGAGCAACTATTGTTTATTCTACTGGAGATGATTTATTAATAGCAACCTGACAAACACCCGAGCAGAATCTTTGCTTTATATACTTATGTCTATGTGTTTCTTTTATCTTTCTTGTTTTCTGGTTTTCTGTGGAATCCCATCTTTATACAGTTCTCTCTCTTCTCTCTCTGTGTGATTTTTTATACATTTTGAAATACCATTTAATTAATTCCAATAGACTTATTTGTTGCATATCTCTTGTGCATCAGAAAGAAAATGCATCAGTATAGGCATTTGGCAAAGACATGCATTTCTCCATCCATTTCCCTCACCTGTCAAAAAGATCACAAGCTTTTCAGATTATGTTTTTAGCTTCAGTCTTTCATCTCTTTCCAGTACTCTTTCTGTATTTGTTTTATCAACAATACATACCTAGTAGGCACATAGAAGAGCGGTGCAGAAGAAGAGAGACTCAACCCAAAGATGAAAAGTTTTACTCACCTGCAGAGTATGGAAAATTTGCCCCAGAATCTTTCTTGCTGTATAGAAGTTCTGCTGCCTAATGTTGGCTTTCACACAGGCTAGCCCAGCAGTAATGAGATTTTTTCCCTTCAGAAAGGACTCATTGTCAAAATGATACTCTTCGTTTGACATGTGCTCCAGATCCACCCGGGCATTGCTTAAAACAATCGATTGGATAGCTTCCTCAAATGTTTCTGAAGACACCTTCTCATTTATCAAGTTATAGTGTGCCTGGATCACTTGCTTCGGGGTGATATTGTCATCAATCTGCATTTGTAAAAAATATAGAAAAACATATGTATATAATTATTATACATATATACAGTACATATAAATGCTGATTGATGCACATACATATGTACACAATAATATATTCATGATACAGTACGTGTATGTGATGGTACTATGATGGTATAATAATTCTGTACTAAATTTTATTGGTCCAGTATCTAAGTCTCAGGTAATTCCCTTACCTCTGTATATCTTTATTAGCCCCCTATTTTTTAGCATCTGCAAATTTAACAACTGTGTTAAATTTATCAATCAACATTGTTAATATACAGAGTCCATAAAAGGTATTGGGACAATCAAAAAATGCCAGTCAAGAAACATATTTATTTGCAATAATCAGATTAACATAAATGACACATATGGTAAAATGATGCAAAACCTTGATCATCTATCCATCCATTTTCTAACAGCATCTTCTAATTCAGCTGGAGCGTCGATCATATCTTGGCAAGCATTGGGTGTAAGCAGAGTACAACCTGGATGGGATGACAGTCCATCACAGGTCACACACACAGACACACACTCATGTCAGAAGTCAATTAACCTACCATGATGTTTTGGACTGTGGGAGGACACCCATGAAAAGATACGGAGAACATACAAACTTTACACAGCACACCAGGGCCAGAATTGAACCCAGTATCCCTCTGCAGCAAGGCAGTAATGCCAACCACTATACCACAATGTCTATTTACATTATAGCATATAGATAGATAACACTTTCTTTATAAAATAAAATAAATAAATAAAAATAAATACATAGGTGGTGCAAAGTATGATCATAGTCATTGTAAAAACAATAAAATATGTACAAAATGTGCATAGGTATATACAGATTGAGTGTCCAAAAAGTACAATGGAGCAACATGCTGTCCATAGACGAGCAAATGAAAGGCTAACAGTCCTAGCCTAGGGCAGTGTTATACATGCGGAAATGTTCCCTTGAACACCGTAGCTGGAGCAGTCTGTTGCTAAAACTGCTCCGCTGCCCAATAACAGTCCCATTAAGCAGATGAGAGGCATTGTTCTTGATGGCTGTGAGCTTGGGCAGCATTCTCCTCTCAGCCACCACCTCCAGGGGGTCAAGGCTCAGCCCCAACACAGAGCCAGTCTTCTTGATAAGTTTATTGAGTCTATTTGCATCTCATCAGGATGCTGCTGCCCTAGCACACAACAGTGTAGAAGATGGCCACTGCCACCACTGATCCATAAAAAACGTGTAGCAGTGTTCCACACACACCAAAGGACCTGAACCTCCTAAGAAAATAGAGTTGGCTCTGACCTTTCTTGTACAGGGCGTCACTGTTACCAGACCACTCCATCTTATCATCCAGGTGTACCCCGAAGTACTTGTAGGACTGCACCCCCTCTATGTCCTCACCCTGGATGGACACAGGGTTCAGCGGAGACTTATTCCTTCGAAAGTCCAGGACCATTTCTTGGGTCTTGCTGGTGTTGTTTAGCTGGAGATGGTTAAGATGAAACCACTCCACAAAGTTGGTAATCAAGCTCCTATATTCCTCCTCCCTCCCCTCTCTTATACACCCCACAATTACAGAGTCATCTGAAAACTTCTGCAGATGACATGAGTTGTACCTGAAGTCAGAGGTGTAAGAGGTAAACAGGAATGGAACTCCAGGGGGTCCAGTGCTGTACTCACCAGGGTTCTGAGGTGTGTAAGAGGACCCGGGGAAGGGTCATTTATAACCAGTATTTCCGGAACGAAACACTGAAAATACTCTATATAGACTTGGGCAAGATGGCCACCCAGGATAACCACCTGACCCGCTATTGGAAAAGGCCTATGCAGCGAAACAATGAGACACAGCTGAACTACATCAGGAAACAGGATATAAATGCCCCAGAAGCGATGAGCCAGCACGGAAGCCGATAAGGTGAAAGCATTTTGGAGGAAGGAGAGGTTTAGGATTGTGCTGGAAGGAATTAAAGAATAATGGACTATTGGATACAGCATATGACAAAGATTTACAGATTACGACTTGGATACGGTACGGATTAGTGTGGACATACGGGCTCGGAAATTTGGATCATTTAAGGGTACTGGCAACAGATCATGGAACGGATTTGGGAAACATACGGATGAAGAACAAAGAAGATCAGTGTGGTGTGAGTTACTTCTCTTTTACACCTGTTTTCCCCCCGGCGACACCACAGGTGGTCCAGTAAAAGCCTTTCCAGAGTTTTCATTAGGTATGATGTCAGTGCCACTGGTCTGTAGTCATTCATATTAGAACAATAACATGCTTTGTGTGTAACCCAGTGAATTCAAGTGACTGTAAATCAATCACATTAACTACTGTGCATGAAGCTTGCAGCTCATTGAGCTCATCCAACTCTTTGTGAAAAAAATTGATACTTTGTCAAGCCATTACTGCAGACACTTGGATTTCTTGCCTATTCTTGGGATATTCTGACTTATTTTTTATGTTAAATGATGCCCAGTTGAACCTTAATGTGGAAATTAATATAAGACTTTCCACTTTGTGCCGACTGCCTACTTCGTACCACTATTACAGAGAATACTTTAATCTTCAAAAGAAGACAAAAAAAGTTTTTGTAAACTTCTGAATTCTTGTGCTGCTGCACATCATGAAACAAAGTAACTTCACAACAAAAACAGAAGAGTGAGTTCTAGAAATTCCCATGCATGCCCAGGACATAAAATTGTCATCAAATTATTCTGAACCCATGTGTCCTGAGATTCTGAAACACCAAGAGCAGGTATAAAACAGGTTCTACAGGTCCTGTAATCTAGTGATAATCATCAAACCAACCCTTATATGACCATGTAGCGGCAAGGCTTATTAAAGTACAGTTATTAAGTTTGCTGCTCCCTAGCCAATCCCTCTCTCCTTCATCTCAGTGGTGCTGGATACAGAGAGGCCATTCCATTTGGTTCACATCTAAGGTGTTTTTCTAGCTGATAGAGTGTCCTGATAAGGTACAACTCCCAATGCTGAGATTCTCCAGCAACCCTAATAGATGGTCATCTCTGGCACCTTACTGTCTGGGAGAGTCTCATCCCAAGTTGTTTACAACTCTAAGGTCAAAGTGCATTGTTACTCATCATCAGTCAATCAGGAACTGGTAAGGCAGATTAACCCCACGCGGGTCTTGAATGTCCGTGAAACTTTCAACCAATGAACGACCGTAGTTCCTCCAGGTAAAACAGGCAGCACAGGGCTTCCTCAGAGCGCCTCCTGGACATTCTCAGACTCAGCTCCTCCTGGACATCCTCAGACTCAGCTCAGACAATCACGTAACGGCCAGTGTGTCCGAGTGCCAGGATTTTCCTTTGTTCTAAGAGTTGAGAACGGAGGTTGCCAGTGCGTAACCAAAGGATCCGCCCGAGGTTAGCCCAGCAGCAAACCTTGTGAACCCACCACGAAAGCTCATCAACAAGTGAACTATGGTCGGAACTGTGGACTGTTGAATCAGTATTCAGGACTAGCGCTACATCAGGAATGAACCGGTCTTCTTCCTGTCTAAAGAGTGTGACCTGCTTGGACCCGTAGTTACTTTTCTCCTATGCACAAACTCGCTAGTAAAGCCAGAAGTAACTAGCCGGTCTTCAGAGAGCATCAGCAGCACGTCGCAGCAGAAATCTCTCCCTCTCTCTCCCACACCGTCAGCTGCCAGATCTGTCAACAGGAGATCGGAATCCACCAGATTGGATGAGTATTCAACCTTCTGCATTACAGCTCGAGAATTCAACTGTTACCTCAACCTGAGTTGATATCAATTTAATTCCTATGAATGATGTACTTGCTTTTGAGTATCTAGTGTAGAAGTTGAAACCAAGTTCATTTACAAAATGGTATAAATGAATGGTATACTGAATGTATGTCCCTCTTGGTTTGTAACTCTTCGTGATTTAATATATACCTTTTGTATTCTGGTAACCCTCACGATAAGATCTGTTATGTTTATATGCACGTTATGTATTAATAAATGCATTCTCGTGTATTAGTATCCGTGTATGTGCGTTGAATTATCCCACAAGGTTGATTCTAATAGCCATCAAAAAATCATTTTGTGACTTAGTGCTACAATTAATAATTGTCCCAGTAAATGCACAAACAACTACATTTATTGGTGCCTTGTGAGAGGATGCTTACAACCATATCCTCTGAAAACATGACCAGATTATTGTGATAATTAACACAATGCTTAACACCCCGAATTCAAGATAGTGGTGAGGTTGATCTGTGTGAATTCAAATCAGGACTGCTTAGGTTTATTAAATTAGGTAAGTTTATTTGAAATAAAATTAATACAAGCAAAGGCTTATGGAAAGAGGTGTAGAATTAAGAGACCTTGGTATGTTCCTATTACTGATATTCTGAATTGCTTCCCTGGTCCAGTTGCCTTTGTATACTGGCTTTCTTGGGTCATGATGTCCAGTCTTCTTGAGCTTAACATCCAGAGACCTCATGGGCCTAACTTCCTGGGCCTAACTTCCCAGGTGTGGTTCGTGGCTTGCCCTGTGTATTAACCTCTGACAAAGATATTCCAATGTCTTGCCTGCCAGGGTTCTGGTTGGCTAATTCAGATCTGCATCTTGCATATCTCTTCTTCAGGAATTTGTATTGCTTCTATCTGAGGAGACATTATAAAATGTCCAATATTTGGGAAAGCTCAACTTCTTCTGAGTGATACTTACAAGTTTGATAATTACAATTCTGCCTATTCTTTTGATACAAATAAACATGGTTCACTTCATCCTGGAATAATTATGATGCCTAATATTGTATTTTAATTTGAAATATATGATGTGGCAATTCAGCCAGTACTTCATACAGTCTTTTATCAATATGGAACGAAGGATGCTATTTAATCAGGTCAAAATACTGATTTGCTACACAATCAATGGGAGGGGGTTGTGTCCCATTTTGCAACTAAGAGGGGTGACTTGATTTTCCTAACTGGGACCCTCAACTGATGTGGATGGATCA